ATATATTCACACATATATTTATAAAGAGAGATAGAGGGAGAGAGAGAGAAAGAGAGAGAGAGAAAGAGAGAGAGAGAGAGAAAGAGAGAGAGGGAGAGAGAGAAAGAGAGAGACAGAAAGAGAGAGAGAGAAAGAGAGAGAGAGAAAGAGAGAGAGAAACAGAGAGAGAGAAAGAGAGAGAGAGAAAGAGAGAGAGAGAAAGAGAGAGAGAAAGAGAGAGAGAGAAAGAGAGAGAGAGAGAGAAAGAGAGAGAGAGAAAGAGAGAGAGAGAGAAAGAGAGAGAGAGAGAGAAAGAGAGAGAGAGAGAGAGAGAGAGAGAGAGAGAGAGAGAGAGAGAGAGAGAGAGAGAGAGAGAGAGAGAGAGAGAATAATAATAATAATAATCATAAGAAGAAGACGACTGTGTCACGACTGCTCTTCTAGATGGCCTGTACTGTTGGTAGCTGCGGAATTCATTTGAGACTGATAAACATTTTGTGTTTTTTTTTTTCGTTGGCACAGGAGCGGAGCAACTATGGGGTGACCTGTTTGCTATGAAGCTGAAACTAAGATTACCAGATTACACCTATAGACGATCTCACCAGCATCCTGAGCCGATCAGACTAACACGTTTGGGGTCCCCTGTCATTGCAGTCTACAGGCAGAATACAAGAAGTGGAAATACTGTGTTTTATCTGAACACAACCTCACACGGTTTCTAAGCCACAAGTTAGCGATTGGTCATATTCAGTGCTTTTTAGTGCACAGTTTAGTTGCACGCTGCATGATCTCGAGGCATGGTGTCCACCTCGAGTGCTAGAGGTTCTGGGTTCAATCCCCGGTAAGGGCTGGGATTTTTTTCGAGTGGACTTGGACTTCTAGTAATTCTCCCTGGTCTCTGGTTAGTGAGATCGGACGCCCGTGTGCATTGTTGCTCACGTGAAAAATCCCCTGGCAGTTGGAAATCGAAAAGAGTAGCCTAACGGCACTGCCCGGGCACAATTTGGAGTTAAAAATTTACGCAAAGTATTTCAGGACCCTCGCCGGTGCTGCAGAGTCTGTGCATGGTGTTGAGCTTCTTCGAACTCAGACTTGATTTAGAAGAAGAACGGAGCACTTATGGGTTATTACCCGTGTGACATGATGTTGATCCGTTGTTCAAACCTTAAACCTCAAACTTGAAATGCGTTATATTTCTATTATAATTTGTTACTTATCCGTAAAATACTAGCATTAGAGAGAGAGAGAGAGAGAGAGAGAGAGAGAGAGAGAGAGAGAGAGAGGGGGGGAGAGAGAAGGGGGGAGAGAGAGAAGGGGGGGGGGTAGTTGGAATAAGACCATGCCTGGATTATTTTGACAGACAAAGAATGAAATGGTTCAGCCACCTATATGAGACTTTTTACATCAGAACATGCAGTTGCACTGAAATGCCAAAAAGATTATGGCAGCAATAGACATGGAACAAAGAATGTTGTTCACAATGTTCCAGCATGAGATCCTGTCGGTGATAGATTATGGACTTGGCATGCTTACCATGTCACAACAAACCATAAAAGAAAATTAGTAACCACGGAAATGAGATGTCTGAGAAGGGCTATAGGAGTGACCATAAGAGATAAGATCAGGAATGAGATCATAAGAGAACAAGTCGGCACAGAACCAATTCTGGATTACATACAAAGACAGCAAGTGAAATGGTTTGCCCACTTAGAGAGAATTCCTTGTGACACCATACCATACAAAGCATACATGGAAAGAGAAGAAGGACGTAGAGCACGAGGTAGAACGAGGTAGATCAAGAACAAGATGGAAGGATAACATCAGAGAAACTCTACAACAGCACGATGTGACTATGGTCGAGGCAGCCAGAAGAGCTAGAAACAGAACCTTATATCTCCCATGACACCCACAGCAGTAAAAGAGGAAGTGAAGAAGAAGAAGAAGAAGACCATGCCTGGCACTGGTAGCACAGAGTTGGAATAAATATGCTTTGAATAAGATGTCTCTTTGTGCTGATTGGGATTGTCTTATGCTGTAAGAAAAAAATCCATTAGATGCTGGAAATCAAAAAGAGCAGCCTAAAGGCGCTGCCCGGGCAAAAATGTGGAGTTAAAAATCTACCCAAAATATTTCAGGATCCTCGCCGGTACAAAGGAGTTCGTGCATTGCACTGAGACACTTCAGACTCAGGCTTGAGTTAGAAGTAGAATGGAGGACTCATGGGTTATACACGTGTGCCATGATGTTGATCCGTCGAATCAACTAACATAAACAATTTATCTCTAGTAAACGAAATAAGAACGAAAGAAGAAGCCATGAACTCGGTGACCCGGATGTAGTCCCCAGTTGCTGGGCAGCGAGAAGCCGGAAGTAGATGTTTGAGAAGTCAGAAACAACAACACAAACTTAGACCCTGCTTTTTCTCAGTAATGTTTTTATCAAATAAAACACGAGAGGGCTGATTTCACAACCGTCACGCTTTCATCAAAGTTATAGTTATACATAATTAATTACCGTCTGATGAATTGCGAGGACTAGAGGCCATAAGCAGGTATTACTATTATTGGCTCTACTGGCAAATCCGGACGAAGAATAAACAGCCTTGGACGACTTAGTCAGAGTTCTCTCCCGTGGCCGCACTCCAAACAGTGATCGGAAAACAAACGAAACAAACGACACACTTACCTATCATCCTGCGGTTGCGTGTAGGGCTGCGTACGGTTGCGTGATGAGGCATCGTGGCATCATCATATGGTTGCGTGCAGGGTTGCGTACGGTTGCGTGAGGCATTGTGAATGGTTGTGTAGTCATCATCATGCGGTTGTTGGATTAGAGTTAGGGGTAGGGGTAGGGTTAGATGTGAAAATTTTGACGTAGGATTTCGAAATACTGGCCGACAATATGATGTTTGTGGGAGTGTCGCCACTGAAACTCTGCCAAATATGACGCCAATAGCGTGCGGCTGGTGCCCCTTAATCGTTGGCGAATTGTGTGTTTGACCAGCATCCAGAGGCCCTCGATTGTTTGTGTGTGTGTATGGGACTGTGCGCGATTATAGGGAACTCCGGCGTCAAAATTGTCAAATCTAACGCTAAACCTAACCCTACCGCTAACCCTAGTCCTAATCCTACTCCCTAACCCCTACCCCCTAACCACGCAAATTTATCGATCATTAAAGCATACAAATCGGCAAACACCAACAAACAAAACACACCCAAAAAAACACCCAGAATTGTCCTGCAGCGTCGAAAAAAAACCCAGATCTGGGGGAAACAACCAAGCATTGGCAGCCCTGATGTCGACGTGACTGTCTTCTTTGTTTCGTTGTGGCTTTTCCGATCACTGTTTGGAGTGCGGCCACGGGAGAGAACTCTGACTAAGTCGTCCAAGGCTGTTTATTCTTCGTCCGGATTTGCCAGTAGAGCCCTATTATTACTTCAATTACTATATTTGAGGCTCTCCTGTCAACTACGGCCGGTAGACAACAGTAGACGGCCGGTTAGTCGGCGTTCTGTCCCCTGGCTGCAGTGCAATTACGGACTGGAGAAGGCACGAATCAGACCACAAAGTGAGGTCGACATGCCTAGCTGCGACTCAAATTAGCGACTGCGATCAATTACCGCGTCTTGCGACGCATTACGGAGTGGATTAGAGGGAACGATACAAGTGACAGAATTACTGTGTGTTGGCGATAGACAGCGTGAAGTGCCCTGCTATAATCATACGGTTAGGGTTTGGGTTAGGGGTAGGGTTGCTACTTTGAGTTTGTGCGACGACGAGATACGGCGACACTAAACCCACACCCTAACCCTACCCCTAACACTAAACCTAACACACCCTACCCCTAACCCAAACCCTAAACCTAACCCAAACCCTACCCCTAACCCAAACCCTAAACAAAACCCTAACCGTATGAGTATAGCAGGGCAGTGCACGCTGTCTATCGCCAACACACAGTAATTATGTCATTTGTTTCATTTCCTCCTGTCCAGTCCGTAATAGCACTGCAGCCAGGGGACAGAACTTCGACTAACCGGCCGTCTACTGTTGTCTACCGGCCGTAGTTGACAGGAGAGTTGGTATTGACAAAAGAAGAAGAATTATTATTTTTAAATTGGATTAATTTAATAACTGCAACATTTTCTTACTGACAGCTAACTTACTTCAGTAAGTTTCAACAGACTGTTACCTACCCTTTGCTTTGGTTGTAGTTTTAAAGGCAAAAACAAAAGTACCTAGCAGTAATTGATTTGTCAATATTTTTTAAAGATGAAATAAGGAAGAGAGCATGGCCGTTTTCAAATCCCCACCTTGAAAGTAAAACAGTGCAAATGTGGAAAAAATTGTTTATGTTTATGATATCAGAACAGATCAGTATGTTTATACATTCTGGAAATTTACATTAAAGAGGGACTAGAGGATGTAGAAGCTTTGTCTGAAATTGTTTGTGAAAGCTCACTTACTGTGCCCCGACCACCTCAGAGACACCAGCCACTGTCTTCTCCCCAGCCCATATTATCTTCCTGATCATACTCATTGAGAAAGCATGGATGATTGAAAGCTTTTGATAATCCTACCACCTTCTTTAATGTGAATACTCCATTCTTCACACCTCAATGGCAGTATCTCCAGGGATGAACAGGAAACTCATTTGCCTTGATAGCTAGAAATTATTGTCTTTGATGCCTCATTTAGCCATTGTGAGTCTAGGAGGCAGGGGGCAACCACCACATTATATTCCCAGGAATATGTTCAGGGGTAGGTCTGGAAAAGAAGCCATGTTTAGAAACTTCACAACCCTCTTTGAACTGACTGAATATCAGAAAGTTACTCAACGCAGCACTGCTTATGACTGTTCAGCTGAATGGAGAGGAAGGATTTGCATTAGTTGTATACATCTTTTCTTTCTCTCCTTTGAAATTTCTAGTCATAATTTTTAGTCATTCTTGTTACCATCACGGTTGAACTAAATAACCTGCCATAACACAACATGTTTTCATTCTCAGGTTGAGGTCAAGGCAATGTCTGATTTGGTTGGGGTCTGGGATGTAACTTTGAGTGATGGCATCCACAAGGTGGAGTTTGAACACGGGACAACCAGTGGAAAGCGAGTTATCAGAGTGGATGGGAAGGTGGGTCTTTAACATTTAAAGCTCATCGTAATAGCAGCAAGTAATTTATAATCATCATCTTCTTCTTCTTTACCTCCTCTTTTACCGTTTTGGGTGTCAAGGGAGATATAAGGACCTGCTTCGTGCTCTTCTGGCTGCTTCAACCATAGACACATCATGGTACTGTAGAGTTTCTCTGATGTTATCTTTCCATATTTTTCTTGGTCTACCTCTTGCTGTACGTCCCTCTCCTCTTGTGGTATATGCCTTGTATGGTATAGCATCAGAATGCATTTTCTTCAAGTGGGCAAACCATTTGATTTGCTGGCTTTGTATGTAATTAGAGTTGGTTCTGTGCCGACTTTTATCTCACATGACCTCTTTCCTGATTTTATCTCCTCTGGTCACTCCTACATTCTTTCTCAAACACTTCCTTTACATGGTGACTAATTTTCTTTTACATCATCCTGTTAAAACCAAGTGAGGATTAAATTTGAAGGGATAGAGAGAAGGGGATATAAAAGGAGAGAGAAAAACAGATGAGAAGAATAAAGAATGGATGAGCAGATGAGAGGTTCATCCTATGTGGAGAGTGTAGTCATAATGTGTCTACATCCCAGACAATAAGGTAATACTCAGTGGAAGTATAAAAGAGTTATGAAGTATCAATAAAGTAAAGTAGTAAAACAGTTACAACCACCATCAGTGATGTTGAATTAAGAATTGACATCACAGCACTTGGGACTCACCGATAAAAGCTCCGTCCCTATCTTCAGCAGCAAGCGAAGAGTTAAAATTCCAGTGGTATCAGTAACTGTCTGATTGTATATCCATCTCTTGCCTTTTGACGTCGACCAGATCCCCTTGTAACTGCTCGCAGTGCCATTCTTCTCAGACCCTAATGATCTATCTGTTCCTCGGCACTGTTCACTCGCTCCCAAAGGGCCCTCACAACATCCAGCTTGTCATACATCAGTTCACCACCAAATGGTGCAGAACCGGCCAGTCTGTCTGCCTGCTCATTTCCCAACACACCTGTATCACTGATGGTTGGCCCTGAGTGTCGAGCGTCAGCCAACCATCAGTGATACAGAAAACTAACTATGAAGTAGAAGAATAACAACTAACAATCATGTTTATTCTCATACAAGAATTACAATGGTTGAGGTAACTTAAAATACAACCACTAATCACGTATTTTTTTTATATTTCAAACAGGAAATCTACCGCCAGGATTGGATGTTCAAATTGGTTGGTCGAGAGAACTTCCAAGTCGGAAAAGCCAAGTGCTGCATCAGCATAGACACTGCTGGGGGATTTGCTTACGAGTACACGCTGAGTGTCAATGGGAAGTCACTGAGAAAGTTTCATGAGAATCAGAGCAAGATCATGAAAACATGGGTTCTGTACATAGCAGGAGCTGACACTCGAGTGGTTTTAGGTAGCTATGGGCATTGATATGTATGTGTTGTGGAGTTGATAAGTTTGAATTAAAAAAAAACTCAGGATTGCAGTTGTATAGTTGTCAGTTGGGTAGTTTTTGGTAACTCAAGGAGACAGTTATGTACATAATGTATAGTTGTCAGTTGGGTAGTTTTTGGCAACTCAAGGAGACATATATGTACATATTGTATAGTTGTCAGTGGGGTAGTTTTAGGCAACTCAAGGAGACAGTTATGTACATATTGTATAGTTGTCAGTTGGGTAGTTTTTGGTAACTCAAGGAGACAGTTATGTACATATTGTATAGTTGTCAGTGGGGTAGTTTTTGGCAACTCAAGGAGACATATATGTACATATTGTATAGTTGTCAGTGGGGTAGTTTTAGGCAACTCAAGGAGACATATATGTACATATTGTATAGTTGTCAGTTAGGCAGTTTGAGTAAACTCAAGGAGACAGATATGCATGTCTTGTAGAGGTGCCATGTGGGTAGGTTTGGGTAACTCATGAAGAAAATCAAGTTTTGAAAATTAAGATCGTCGTGTAACAGCTCTTATGCAGAACGTCGCTCTCATCATGGTCTGCCTGAAAGAAACTTGGTCTCTTCTGTCCTGGATATTTTCCTACCCAAGGTGGCTCTTATATTCTGTTCCCATCTTTGTTCCCCTTTTTTCAGGTACAGAGCCTTTTGTTTTCCAGTCCCCCCTGGCACTTGATATGGCCAAAATATTTCTTTTTCTGAGACAAGATGCTGTTTATTAGCCAAGCTTCCTTGATTTTTGGATGTCAGTATTTTTTTTTCATTGGGCTTGGTCCATAGTTTTCTGAGAATTTTTTTTGTAGCATTTCTGCCCAAAAGCACCTTTTTTTTAAGAATCGAGGTACTTGATAAATATTAAGGGTAAGGCTAATAGTGTAGACTGAGAACACTTATAAGTGAGATGGATTTATGTAGTTGTTGCGTCGTCCCCTTGTGGGATGCAATTTTTAATTATTTGAAGCCCCACCCTGGCTTTTGTCGGGGGCCCTATAGCCAGGCTGTAAATATGGCCTAATGACTGAACAGGGTTTATGTGACCCCTCCATGGGTGATCCTCATCCGCATGGTGGCACTTTGTGTAACCTGAGAAGAGCTGCAGGAGTTTCAAGGAAAGACAGAATATGAAATCATGAAATCAGACGAATGCTAGGAATAAAGCCAGTCTTACAGGTCATCAAAGAACAACAAATGAAGTGGTTTGGACACCTAACAAGAATGCCCTGGTACTATCCGCCACAGCGAGCCACACTAAAACGTTACAACGGGTATAGAGCGAGTGGAAGACCTCGGAAAATATGGAGTGATGGCATTAAGAACAGCCTTACAGAAATTAACACCAGTCTTAATAGTGCTCTTGACAGAGCTCATCAACGAACATTACATCTCCCACCGACACTTCAATAAGGTACAAGGTGGAAGAGAAGAAGAAGAAGAAGAAGGTGTTTATGGCTTTGTGTGATGTCCTAATGGAGTACAACTTACTTACATACATACAAATATGTAGTTGTTGCCACTTTTACTTTACCCTGTTATTTGCTACATGCTTCTGTTGCACTTATATTTTGTAAATATTCAAAAATACATTTCTTATAGTCATATCACTTATATAACTTTGCTTCTGTTGCACTTATATTTTGTAAATATTCAAAAATACATTTCTTATAGTAATATCACTTATAAAACTTTGCTTTCTTTGATATTTTCAGAAAAAGATACACTAGATGTCTGGGTGAATGGCAAGAAGGTGGACACAACAGTAAGCTGTGAATTAATCATTTATATGCGTTTCCTTTTTAGCATTGACTACTAAACTACAAACACTCATTAACTGGCTGCGTATATTGGGGGTAATAGTGGTATGCTGGAATCACTGATTTGGAGCTTTGTGTGAGAACTAAAGAAGTTCAGGTGAGGAAAAAAACGCTGGCGTTGGATAAGATACACATTGAGAAAACCTGACAATATAATTATAATGTCTTCACACTGGAACCCACATAAGCAAAGAAATAAAGGCAGATTAAACATGCACACATGGAGAAGTAACCTAAAGAGTGAACTTGAAAAGAAATGGGTGGACATGGGAAGAAGGGGGGGGGGGGGGTGAGCTGCATACAATATCAAAGAATAGTACGCCTTGGCATGAGTTAGTTGAGGGCCTGTGCTTCATGTTGTATAAAGAACAGAAGAGATATAATATTATTATGTAGCAAGTGTATTCTGAATGTTGTCCCCGTCATGGCCCAGACTCATTCTATCACCAGTTTCCATACTTTATGCATTTTTACTTTGCCAGATTTCTTTAGTATGTATAGACATAAGCAAACACACAGTAACTGAGAATTTGTGGTTTATTTTCCTTACAAAACACATTTCTATTACCATTAGATGTTTCTCAGCTTGTCTGCTTTTGCCCATGATTCACACCCATACAACAGTTCAGGTTCTACACTAAAGGTGTATCCTTTACAGGACATTGCAGAACCAACCCCAGCAGCCTCTGGCTGTTGTGTGGTTTCTCTAAGCAAATTTACATCCAGTAGTTTGCCATTGCTTTCTGGACGGTCGGCCCCCTGATACCACTGTCGAAACCAACGCAAGGCGCATGGCCCGCAGCTGGGATCGAACCCGGCACCCCGGCATTACGAAGCGTTTGCATCGACCTAGCCACATAGCCGACAGGTTCTACATAGCACTTTTTTTCTTCTCACGGCATCCAACACCTTACAAATGAGACAGTCCTCAAAGAAACAGATGAAACCAAGAAATGATTTAGAGAAATTAGACCTAGAGGTGTAAAAATAAAAATCTGAAGTTACTCTAGTAAATCTCATGATTATCACGAGCTCCCAGCGGTAAGAGGAGCAACATATCCTAGAGATGACATGGGATATTTATATATCAATGGAATGACTTAAAATGTTTCATGCTTCATTATATGTTGTAATTCTGCAGTAACATACCCAATGAAATATAGCTAAATTTGCATGGAGATAAATTGTGCAGTGTTTTTTGTGTGTGTCCACATTATTTAAATTTACTAAAGGAAAGTATTGTTTTATAGACCTAGTGTCAGGATGTCCTACCGACAGGATGTCCTAGCGCAGGATGTCCAAGTGACAGGATGTCCTAGTATCAGGATGTCCAAGTGTCAGGATGTCCAAGCGCAAGATGTCCTAGTGTCAGGATGTCCAAGTGTCAGGATGTCCTAGTATCAGGATGTCCAAGTATCAGGATGTCCTAGCGACAGGATGTCCTAGTGTCAGTGACAGGATGTCCTAGTGTCAGGATGTCCAAGTGTCAGGATGTCCTAGTGACAGGATGACCTAGTGACAGGATGTCCTAATGACAGGATATCCCAGTGTTAGGATGTCCTAATGACAGGATGTCCTAGCGCAAGATGTCCTAGTGTCAGGATGTCCTAGTGTGAGGATGTCCCAGTGACAGGATGTCCTAGTGACAGGATGTCCAAGTGTCAGGATGTCCTAGTGACAGGATGTCCTAATGACAGGATATCCCAGTGACAGGATGTCCTAGTGTCAGGATGTCTGAGTGTCAGGATGACCCAGTGTCAGGATGTCCCAGTTTCAGGATGTCCTAGTGTCAGGATGTTTTGAACGTTATTAGGAAAAGCATGCATCAGTACACCACCAAGTGCTACATAACAACCAGCCTATCCATCTGTTCGTTTCCGACCACATTGGCACAACCTGGATAAAATATCCGGTACTTAATTTATAACTCACCCCTGACGTCACGACAACGTCACGGGAGACATTCCCAATAGATTCTAGGGTGTTCAGGTTGTAGTTTCTCGCGATTTCTCTACAGTAAAGGTTAGGGTTAGGATTAGAAGACACTAGATAAACACTCAAAAAAAGTACCACACAACAGCACACTTGCACCCCTTGAAATAATGGACTGTCAGGTCAGCTGTGGATTTCCCACGGGGATTTCCTGTTTGGGGTACGTTATAAATTAGGAACCAAATATCCAAAGGGCGCTAACTGTATGTAACCTCTGAAGCAACACTTGTCACTCAGGACAAGAGCCCTGACCTGATCTCAGACAATCATGTCAGATGATGAAATAAGCCTGCTTACAATTAGTGGATAGATAAGGTGTTAGGAAAAATAAAAATTTGTTTTTGTGTGTGTGTGTTTTTGCTGACAGGGAGAGTTTGTGGACGACGGCACAGAGACACACTTTGAAATCGGGAACCACTCGGCTTTTATTAAAGCTACGACAACCGGCAAGAGACGAGACGGGATTGTACATCAGCTATTCGTAGACGAAACTGAAATTCCACTAGCAAAAGAATAATACATGTTCTTTCTTGTGAATTTGTTGAATTGTGGGAAATACACTAAATTAGTTGGCTAGTTTCATTGGGAGAAGATGACATTGTAAAGACAGTGCTAGTGGCCAACTTTTTTTGGGTTTGAGGGCTATTTATCATTACAGAAATTACTGGCAGTCAGCTTTATAGACTATGGGGGTAAACTAATAAAGGGGATCTAAAATGGAACCAAAAAATAAAAATAAAGGCACAGATCACTGCAGGATGAATCTCATGGTTGTCAATAGTCTACCATCTTGGATATGTTTTTCACTACTGTTACATAAGCTTGATCAGCAGTTCAACTCAGTGATGTTTGAACAATTTCGTGATCAACAGTTCAACAAAATGATGTCTGAACTGCTTCATGATCAACAGTTCAACAAAATGATGTCTGAACAGCTTCATGATGAACAGTTCAACTAAGTCTTTGTAAAGATAACCTTCACTTGTTACTTTTCATATTACCTATTGCATTTTCACAGGTTTACCAAACATTACCCCATTTTATGTGTGATCTTGTCATTTTTACTCCTACATTAGTGTGACTGAAAATGTTGTGTGCAAGAATTATGTATCAGTCTTCTGTACAAAAGTTCTGTAAAAGTGTTGTGTACAAGTGTCTACAAAAGAGTCACAATATCATGTTGCATTGTAATTCTGGGACGTCTGGAGTTCCTACCCACACAAGGAGAAAGCCAGAAATAGACTGTCCTAGGAAAAAGTTCATCAGGCAAGCATGATTGGAACACATGCTTCCATGTTTCTAACACATGCTCATGTTGATTTGATGAGAACTGCTGAGAACAGGAGACACTGGAGGACATGGTCAACTGAGTTCTACACCAGTCTTTGGATTGATGGACCTAATGGACAGAACAGGAGACACTGGAGGACAAATTCAGATGATCAGTCTTTGAATTGATTGATCTTCTTTCTTCCTGGTGTTCACCAGGCCTAACTCCAACAGGAAGTCCTGGTTGCTCTTCTGCCTCTGGACTTGTATTTGTTCAAGGACATGAATGTTGTATGCACATCTGTTTTACTTTAATGCATACTGTTAATTCCTTGCCTCTCAGCTTCGTGTGGTTCGGCAGCACTGCATCCTACTGATGCATCTAATAATGAGAGTAAGAGACATAGGAGGATATGAGCAAACATTTTCAACATCAGTCTGAATGTTTACTTGTTGTACTGTTGTTCATTTACCCGTATGTTATCACAGCTGTAGAAGACTGTGCACTTGAAACAAAATAAGTGTTGTGAATAAAATTGTTCTCAGAATTAAATTATAAAAACTGTGGATTCTTGTCTTGTTATTTTCTCTCCCTTCACTGGGTTTTCAAGTGCTTGTTCATGAGAATGTTGAATTAAGAATCGACATCACAGCACTCGGGACACTCCCATAAGCACTCCGTCCCCATCTTCGGCAGCAAGCGAAGAGTTAAAATTCTGATGGTACCAGTAACAGTCTGATTGTATATCTGTCTCGCCCCTTCCCCGAGTGTTGAGCGTCAGCCAGATCCTCTTGTAACTCCTCGCAGTGCCATTCTCCTTAGACTGTAGTGATCTATGTTTCTCGGCACTGTTCACCCGCTCCCAAAGGGGCCTCACAACATCCAGCCTGTCATATATCATTTCACCACCAAATGGTGCAGAAGCGGCCAGGCTATCCGCCTGCTCATTTCCCAACACACCAGCGTGACCTAGAGAAAATATTCAAAGGATGCTAACTACCCAGGACCTCTGAAGTTATGCTTGCCACTCTGCATGGATCATGCCTGTCTCCACCTTTCTCAGCATGCTCTGTGAGTCAGTTACAATGACAACATGTGTGTACAGCTGATTCTCAAACTAGACGTTGTGATATCATATTTCATGTAAAGTTGCTGCAATAGTAGTTCTTGATGGCCTGAACAACCATGGAAACAAACTAGGCAATCTCTAGTTGTTTCACCACAAGCAAGAGTAGTTTATGATGGCCTGAACAACAATGAAAATAAACAAACTAGGCAATCTCTAGTTGTTTCACCACACGCAAGAGTAGTTTCTGATAGTCCTGAACAACAATGAAAATAAAACAAACTAGGCAATCTCTAGTTGTTTCACCACATGCAAAAGTGGTTTTTAATAAACGCAATTAATTCCTAGTCACGACAAAAATAATTGAGGATATACCAATAACATACATTAATTACACTTTACAGTGACAGACAGACAGGCTAGCACATATATACAAGGAGAAAGACAAACAGAGAGGGGGACAAACAATGTGATAATGGCAGATCTTAAAATCACACATATATTACACGATTTTTTAAATTCATTCTTGACCACACAAACTTGGGTGTATAATATATATGAGTGCTAAATATATGTTACTATTGTCCTATTTACTAGAAAATGCTAGATTAAATCAAATGTGCCCAGTAATCCTGAGTGTGTGGCTAATAAAATATTTATTAAATAGCTTCACCACATAAACAAAAAAACATATTTGGATGCTGAATTATTTTATTTTGTGTCGAACTGGCACAAAATATATATCAAAAGCTATCCACAATTAAAGAGATGAATATAATGAAAATCAAGAAACATAAAATATATTCCTGATGATAAAAAAAAATAATAATATTGGTAAATAAAAAGAAAAGAAACCTGGCAAACAGGAATAAGAGCTGGTGAAACTGATAGCAAGAGGAGGTTAAAAAAAATACTTCATACTCTCACATCCTGGCTAATAACACTTACCCATCCAATTATCAATGAAAAAGGTAACAAAGAGATCAAAGACTTAGTAATTATATGTGCTGTGATATTTGATCTTGCTCATACAAATAATACCTATGATGAATGCAGAAAAAGCTACAGATCTGTTAGATAACCAATTATGCAAAGAAAAATGAAGTGGCTTTTAAAGAACTAAGGTAAGTCTTGCACAGTTACTTTTCTTGATTATCACCATTAATACTGTAAATCTTGTTTGACTTAAGTACTAACAAAACCTGCAGATGAGTTTTATACATTTTATACTACAACATAATTCACACTTACAAAAATATTATCTTTCCAAATAGAGAAACAATCAACACAAATCCAGAATTTCAAACCATCTCTACAGTCTAGAGCCACAAGATTTAGAACCACATGGCTAGTCTTGTCACCACAAACTAGATGTTAGGATAGGTCATGGTGATGCAGTAGCTAGCATGCTTTCCTTCATATGTTCACATCTTCCTCAAAGTGGGGATTCAGGAAAAAACACAAACTGACCTGGGCATCCAAACTGACTCATCCTAAAGTAAGATCCAGGAAATGTTTTAGGAAATCATGGCAGCCAGTATCCTACTGATCGGATCAACCACTGAGAACAGATTGGTCTACAAAAGTCTCAACGTGTAGAAAACATTTCATGACATTTTTACTGGCAAAATTTTGTATTTTTTGAAATATAACCCTCAGCTGGCAGGCATTGTCTGTGTTTGCCATTTTGCGGCACAGGCAGAGTTGGATTTAGGGCCTCACGGCTGCTGCTGTTACAATGGACTGTGTAGGTTAGGATTTTGTTTTGGTCCCCTGACAAAATAAATCCCCAACTTTCCTTAACTGTTCGGCCAGCCACGTTTCATTAACACTATACAAATTCTTTATTAGAAAACAGACTATTTTTTCAGTGTTGCGGTTTGCCTCTTTCAGCCGAACACATTTGATTTCAGCAAACTCACCTCCTCTGACCTAGTTACCCATTTTTCATCATGTTTGTAGGAGGCAGTTGAGACCCCCCCCCCCCCCCCCCCACATATAAGGACCCACACAGGAAAAGAATTACACAAAACATTCAGAAGCAACTAACAATTTTTTTCTTACAAATCTGTTAATGTCATCACTATCAAGCGCCTTGCCAACTGGCATGGGCGATCATGACTTTCTACAACCTGCAATATTCAATAGTGTGTAACAATTCATATGCTAACGAAAGGCTGTCAATTATCTTCTCGTACTGTCTTCCGTTTCTCCACAGGTATTTCCAGAACATGTTTTAGTTTCTTTCTTCTCACTACATGATAAAAACATCGATGACTGTCTCTTTCTGATAAGTTGTCTTCAGATCCTTTCCTCCTTCCAAACATCTTGGTGTCCAAAGAATTTCAAGGATTCTTATGTAACAACACATCTCTGAGGCCTCAAGAAAGTGTTTGGCTGGTTTATTCATTGTCCAGGATTAGACAGCCACATAATTAAAACTGGCTCTGTGTATACAAAATAAATGTTAGTTTCATGTCTTTTTCAGAACGTTGCTGAACCAAACTCAGCATCTTTTGGCTGTTTGTGATTTTACCAAGCAATTTTACGATCAGTAGTTTGCCGCTGCTTACTGAATGGTCAGCTCTGTCAAAACCAATGCAAGACGGTCTGCTGGCAAATCACCTGCAGCTGGGATCAAACTTGGTACAACTAAAGGCACTGTCAACACCTAAACCACAGATGCTCTATATAGGATGTTAGAATTTGTTTTTAACCTCTAATGACAAGCATTCATTGCATAAGATGTTCCTCATTTTTTATTTCAAAATAGTGCCTAGAAAAGTGGGGCCAGAGCACACAAGACACCTAAAATAGGAAGGTACATGAGGCAGAGGAAGGAGCTAGCGATGGGCCAAGTTTCTTACAGCTGGGCAGTCATGCTGTGTACAAGGATCTTCTACATGATGATGATGATGACCATCTACATAATGATGATGACCATCTACATAATGATGATGACCATCTACATAATGATAATGACCTTCTTTATAATGATAATGACCTTCTTTATAATGATAATGACCTTCTTTATAATGATAATGACCTTCTTTATAATGATAATGACCTTCTTTATAATGATAATGACCTTCTTTATAATGATAATGACCTTCTTTATAATAATGACCTTCTTTATAATGATAATGACCTTCTACATAATAGTGATGATAACTACATGATAGTAATGACCTTTATAATAATAATGACCTTCTACATAATCATGTGGCCCTTTTACACAATCATGAGGCCCTTCTACACAATCATGAGGCCCTTCTACACAATCATGAGGCCCTTCTACACAATCATGTGGACCTTCTACACAATCATGTGGACCTTCTACATTATAATGATGATGACCTTCTACATTATAATGATGACCTTCTACACAATGATGATGACCTTCTACATAATGATGATGATGACCTTCTACACAATGATGATGACCTTCTACACAATGATGATGACATTCTACACAATGATGATGACATTCTACATAATGATGATGACCTTCTACATAATGATGATGACCTTCTACATAATAATGAGGACTTTCCACATAATCATGAGGACCATTTACATGATGATGATGATGATGATAATAAACAAACAGTAAACAGGCTGGTGCCTTGAATATTGTCTAAAGTGAAAACAAACCAAATTTATCAACTAATAAACAATGACAGTCATAAACACGCCATGTCTCGTTCAAGTAATTTATTAAAAGAGAACGTGAATATTTAAAGTAGAAACATCAGCACGTGGGGATGAACAATTTAATTCACTACAACAGTGTATTCTAAAATTAAATTAACCGAATTAAAAAACTAAGACAATGAAGTTACTACTAGAAACCTTTGTTTTGTGTGTTCGCCGGCTGTAAACTCCGCCGGAAAGTTCTGGTTGTTCGTCCACTTAGGAAACCCTGAATTTTTACTCTGATAACATGCTTGTCAGGGAGACAGAGGGGTCTATTTTTGTTTCCCTACAACTGGACCCTGGAACTCTTGGGGGAATACTAGAAACAACACTGCAGATGTAGATAATCTATTTCAAGGGAATGAGAAGAAGAAGAAGAAGACTGATTAGGTTTCTCAGTTACTTATCTCAGATTGATAACATACAGAGATAGAGGCAAACAATGAGAGAGGATTCTTCACCATTTTTTGTGGAGATTTTCGGTACAGGAACTGATAAACACTGACGGAGACCACAAAATGTGGACAAATATGATGGCCACATGCCAGCTGGCAAAGCACACGATGTTGATGATGTCTTGTGATTTCTAAATTTTCCCTGTATCTTTTGTGTGATAATAAATGCAAGAAACAAATCCAGAAGTAACTAAAATGAACTGTAAAATCATTTTTGCCTGTGTCTATAAAGAATAAGATGATGAAAAAGCTTGATATACTGGTTCACTGAACAAAACAGAAAACTGGTACCCTACTTTGCTCAAAGTTGGGGAATGAAAATGTCATAAGGACTGAGGCACAAAACTGGTCACTTTAAAAAAAAAAACAGCCATGGTCGTTTGCAGATAAAATCTTGACTTAGGAATGTCTTCTACTTTTAGGTATCTTTACAAAATCAAGTTTTTACAAAAAAATAACATCTATCTTCTTCTCTTATCCTGGAAAAATCTGCACTCCTATACTAAGTAAGTAATCCTTAGTATACTGAAGTACGGAAAGGAAAAGGTGTGCGTGTGGGAGGGGATTATAAAAATTGCAATGACAATGTTGGTGTCAGCTGTTATTACTGGTGTTAAGGATGCCAAGAGTGTTAAGCATCGGACATCAGGGTGTAGACACAGTGACTTCATGTCAGTTAAAATATGGCCGCTCCAATTTTGATATGCACTAAAGAAAAGAATTCTACTATCCGTTTTTAAAAAAAAAATCAGTGAAGGGTTGAATCCTATAGAAATTCATCAGCAAACGAGGATCCAGTTATGGTGATGCATGTCTGTCATTCAGCAAGTTTACGAGTGGAGTGGGGAGTTTCAAAATTGTGTGACTTCTGTGCCGAACTTAGTCGTGAACAGTTTGGCCTTCTGTAAACTGTCATTATGACGTCGTTATGTTCATGTGCTTAACAATCTTGACATTCTTAACAACAACACCACTGACAGGTTACAAGATAACAGCATGGTAATTGTAAATCTATCAGATTTTTAGGTTTGTGCCTGAAGCCCCTAGTATGTGCCACAGGAGAAGGCGTGCCCAGCACGCCTACCTGGTGCCATGTGTTTTCACCCCCATCAAGGCATGATCTGATTTCATTAACAGGTGCTTGTAGATAGATCATGTATAAAATGGATGCCATAAAGTTTTCTGGAAAGTAAAGGCAGCCGGTGGGATACTGATCACATCCCCTCCACCATCATGTGCAAAGTGGTATAAAAATATAGATCTAGCACAATATACCCATTACAGATTATTATGTGAAAATTAATCTGTTCCTTTTTTGTTGTTTCATCCCTTCAAACCTGAGAACCGATGTCAAATTAAAAAAACCCACCCTAATGGGGTTTGAACCCTAATAACCCAGGACTGCCAGATAAAGCATAGTAGCCAAAGTGCCACTACAGCTCACATAAATCTATATTACTTGCCTTATTTATTAAAATAAACTACTCAATCTCCAGTACATATTTATCGTTAAAACCAATTAAAAAACAAAGATCTGCAAGTTTTTGATGGTGAGAAGATGACTATAAACAAATCCTCAATCAAACGCTAGTTTGAAAAAACTGTCCTCTATTCGTTTGCAAAACTGGGCCAGGTTGTCAAAGTCCTGTACCACAGCTGTGAAGTGGCCACCGGGCAGTATAGTGGTCAGCAGGGTGTAGAGATGGCCGAACACCATGGCATCTAGCTCTGTGGGCCTACATGATGGGAGGAGAGGGGGGGGGGGGGGCAAAAATATTATAATTTGATAATTTGAAACAGTGGGTGAATATTTACACAGAATAATATATCAAAAAGGGTGTATGTATGTGTTTTTGTGTGACTGCATGTGTATATCATGTGTGGCTGTATATGTGTGATGTGCGGATGTATGTATTGGTGTATTATGTGTGACTTGTATGAGTATATATGATGTGTGGGTGCTATGTGTGACTTTATGGCTGTATAATGTTTAGGTGCTATGTGTGACTTGTATGGGTGTATAATGTTTAGGTGCTATGTGTGACTTGTATGGGTGTATAATGTTTAGGTGCTGTGTGTGACTTGTATGGGTGTATAATGTTTAGGTGCTATGTGTGACTTGTATGGGTGTATAATGTTTAGGTGCTGTGTGTGACTTGTATGGGTGTATTATGATGTGTGGGTGCTATGCATGACTTTTATGGCTATATATGATGTGTGGGTGCTACATGTGACTTGTATGGGTATTTGATGTGTGGGTGCTACGTGTGACTTGTATGGGAGTATGATGTGTGGGTGCTACATGTGACTTGTATGAGTGTATGATGTGTGGGTGCTACGTGTGACTTGTATGGGTATACATGATGTGTGGGTGCTACATGTGACTTGTATGGGTATATGATGTGTGGGTGCTACGTGTGACTTGTATGGGTGTATGATGTGTGGGTGCTACGTGTGACTTGTATGGGTGTATGATGTGTGGGTGCTACATGTGACTTGTATGGGTGTATGATGTGTGGGTGCTACATGTGACTTGTATGGGTGTATGATGTGTGGGTGCTACATGTGACTTGTATGGGTGTATGATGTGTGGGTGCTACGTGTGACTTGTATGGGTATACATGATGTGTGGGTGATACATGTGACTTGTATGGGTATATGATGTGTGGGTGCTACGTGTGACTTGTATGGGTATGTGATGTGTGGGTGCTACGTGTGACTTGTATGGGTATGTGATGTGTGGGTGCTACGTGTGACTTGTATGGGTGTATGATGTGTGGGTGCTATGTGTGACTTGTATGGGTGTATGATGTGTGGGTGCTACATGTGACTTGTATGGGTATATGATGTGTGGGTGCTACGTGTGACTTGTATGGGTATATGATGTGTGGGTGCTATGTGTGACTTGTATGGGCGTATGATGTGTGGGTGCTACGTGTGACTTGTATGGGTGTATGATGTGTGGGTGTATGATGTGTGTGCTACTGTGACTTGTATGTGTGTATGATGTGTGGGTGCTACATGTGACTTGTATGGGTGTATGATGTGTGGGTGCTACGTGTGACTTGTATGGGTATATGATGTGTGGGTGCTACATGTGACTTTTATGGGTGTATGATGTGTGGGTGCTATGTGTGACTTCTATAGGTGAATGATGTGCGGGTGTGAAGTGAGGGACATGTATGGGTGTATGATGTGTGGGTGCACATATGTTGGCTTTGTTGCAAGCGCTAGCAGTAGTGTTGCAAGGGCTGGCAGTAGTGACAGATCTCAACATCAAGTGAAACTGGTTTGCATCTTGTCTCAGAAACTGAAATACTTTGGTCATATCAAACCTCATGGTGGATTGGAAATAACAATGGCTGAGGGCAAAGTATCGGGTAAGAAGGGCAGGGACTGAGCAGCAAGAAGAAGGACACAGGACATAAGAGAAGCTTTGGGTAGGAAAGTGCAAGAGGTGGGACAGCTGGCGAGGGACAGAGTTTCTTTCAGGCTGGCTGTGATAGGAAAGATGTTCTGTAAATGTCCTGCTGCAGGATGATGATTATGGCAGTAGTTAGACACTTGTCGGCCCAGAAGTCCTGGGATCACACTTCCACTGAGACAGAGTGCCTAACCAGGTCCTGATCAGAAGTGACACCATTTTGAAACTTCCTACTCCACTCACACACCTGCTGCACTGACAGGCAGGCACCGCCATACGGGACGTTATTTGTCGATGAATTTCTATATCACTGATTAAAAACTGGATAACAGAATGCTGCTCTATCACTGATTAAAAACTGGATAACAAAATGCTACTCTATCACTGATCAAAAACTGGATAACAGAATGCTACTCTATTACTGATCAAAAACTGGATAACAGAATGCTGCTCTATCACTGATCAAAAACTGGATAACATGTATGTCAAAAGTGGGGAAGGCCATATTTAAACTGCCACTGTGACATCACCCTGTTTGTCTGCACTATAACATCACATGCTTAACATTCTTGACACCCTTAACAAAATTACCAATTATCAATCATACCCACATGATTCCCTGTAATGTTGACGTGCTAATGCTTGAAATCTACCCATGCCACATTTGGAACCTTCCACAGTACAGAATGAGAATCAGACCTCTACCTACCTACACAGCCACTCCACTAAGTCACCAAACCCTTTGTGATACAATAAAATAATACAACAAACAAAGAAATATTCCACAAATGACACAGTAAGCAGAAAAAGACACAATCTAAACTAACAAAAACAACTGATTCACTTACTTATCACCAAAGAAGTATTTCTTCTTCTCCAGCCTCTCTGAGAGAGCTTGACAGCAGGTCCTCACCTCTCCACACACCTGTAGCAGACACACATCATGGACAATGTACAGGAAAACATTCAGGGGTTCCAATCGCCTATGGGACTTGACATCCAACATAGATTTATCTAATACTTTTCAGTTACGGCTCCTGCAATTCACAGCCTTCTCTGGCTAGTATTTAAGTGGTCACACATGTGTCAGAGATTCAACTGGCCAAACAGATATGTGATTTCTCTTGGAGACATTCCTAGCATACAACATCACAACATCTAGCATGAGAATGGAGGTGGAGGCGGTAACTGCAGCTCTCCAGTGGCTAGAGAACAAGATGCATACACATGTCGTAAATTGTAACAGACAAAGTGGCAAGCTTCACTGGGAAGGTTATGGGTAGTAGCTTACTTTGGATTTTTTTCTCCAGGCCATGCCGGCGTAATTGGTAATGAACAGGCAGACAGACTGGCTGCATCTGGACCACTGGGTGGTGACAAGGCAGATGTGGTCAAGGCCCTTTGGGAACAAGCAACGGAATCAGTAGAGAAACAATATTATTATGGCCTGGAGAGAATGAGGCACCTGGGTGTAACCAGAGGGTCTAGCCGGCTCACTACACTCAGAGGAAAGGCAAGACGAACATATAACCAGATTGTGACCGGTACCACCAGTATTGGAACTCTGTGCTGGCTGCTGAAGATGACACAGAGCACGTATGGGAATGCCCCAAGTGCTGTGATGTCAATTCTTGACTCAACTCAACGAGACATTTCAGTTAAATGATTTTGTGTGATCTTGTTCATGTTTGTGGTATTGTGTATTGACGTAACATGCTGATGAAGGCTCTTAAGAGATAACATTCACTTATCATTTGTGTTTGTGATACCGTGGAGCTGACTGATTCTGCTCATGGCTTGGTTTGATATCTTTTTAGGTCAAGGATTAATACATTCTATTTCTTCTTCTTCGCATTCACCAGCTGTAAACTTTGGCAGAAAGTTCTGGTTGTTTGTCTACATTAGTCTTGTTCCAGAACCTGAGTTTACAGATCTGACTTAACTGTATGCAGATTGTTGGTTCGTTGCCGCTCAGGCAAATGCATTTCGACTTTGAAGGAAACGCCCAATTAGTCAACTCTTATGACATGCTTGTTGGGGGGGGGGGGGGGGGAGGGGAGAGGGAGGGAGGAATGGGTCTGTTCTTGTTCTCCCCACAATGGGGTCCTGGAACCCACGGGGGGAACCTTCTATTCTAGATGCTGCACTGAGTTAAGAACTAATATCACAGCAGTTGAGATATTCCCATAAGCGCTTTGTCTCCATCTTCAGCAGCTAATGCAGAGTTTCAATACCACCTAGGTCTGTTGAAGTTTGATAAATTGCATGTCCTGCCTCTTCTTTGGGTGCAGAGAGTTGGTCAGATCCCCAGTAACTTTCAAATGCTCCATTATATCCAAACCATGATCAATTATTTGCCCTTCTTATTTACTCTAGTAAAATAAAATGATGTCAAAAATAGGGACGAGGGCAATGGAGCTGATCATCCCCCCCCCCCCCTCCTTCCCCCACACACACACAAAACCAAGAACAAAGACATCTGTGTGCTTATTTCCTTTCTTGTAGTTGAAACCATAGTTTTATTTTGTGAGCGTTAGATTTAGTATAGTAAGTTTCATATAACATTTCAGCATCCTTTTTCTAACATTCTTCTTCTTCTTCACGTTCACTGGCTGTAAACTTTGGTGACAAGTTCTGGATCTTTGTCCACCTCTGGACTTTAGTCTCGTTCCAGAACCTGAGTGTGGCATGCACATCTGTTTTACAGATCTGACTTATCTGAATGCAGACTTTAGGTCCCTTGCTTCTCAGGCAGATGCACTTTGACTTCAAAGGAAACCCTCGGTTAGTCGATTCTTATGACATGCTTGTTTTGGTTTTTGAGGCAGTGGGTCAATTCATGTTTTCCACACAATGGCGCCCCGGAACCCTCACAGGGATTTCTGACATTCTATGAAAGTGACTATGAAAGGAAAAACAGACATCAGTTGAAAATGATAAGAGCCAGATTTCAAGAGCGAGCCAAGTGAAAGATAAACAAAACATCAGACACTGACAAAACTAATGACAGGTATGCTAGAGGTAGTAGGTCTATCCCCCCCCCAACACGTGGCTCCAGAAATGACATGTAGTAAAGGCTACAAAAAAAAAGGATCTCTAGTTACCTCTTCACATGTTTTACTGGCCCAGTCATTGGCTTCAAGTCGTGCTCGAACCTCTCTCTGCTTCCGCCATGGCAAGATCCAACTCAAAGGCCATGGGTAGCAGCAGCCATAGCGAGGTTTGGTCACCTGTAGGGGGTAGATGACCTTACTTGTTTACAGGCAGCAGTGTGAGCTTTCAGTGACATAGTTGTCCCCATGGGGTTTTAGGCCCCCCATTTGGGGGGGGGGGGGGGGGGGAATAGGTCCAGTACCCCAGTAACAACAATATAAACAACAAAAACTAGTGCCTATCCTTTACAGGATGCTGAAGAACCACCATAGCATTTCTTGGCTGTGATTTGTGATTTAATTACACAATTTTATGCTCAATAGTTTGCCAATGCCCTTGATACCACTGCTTAAACCAATACAAGGCAGCCTGCTGTCAAATTGTTAGCAGCTGGGATTAAACCTGGTACCAGTAAATTAAAAAGCACATTTACAATGCCTAAGCCAGAGGAGATGACAGTAACAAGCAGATCATGAAAGGCGACTTTTTGAAGGGTGATGACAGTGATGGCAAAAGTGTTGCTGATACGTTAGAAGGTACATTAGATTGCACTTCGGACGTGAAAGTGATGATGATAACTGATTATAATCATAAAATCATTATATACCCCCAACATCAGTAGATAGTGGTGCGCCTATGGGTAATGTCATCAACATCACACTGACCACCTTTACTTCTCAGAACTTTACCCGATACCCATCGTAGGCTGGGTAAACATATGAGTCAAGACTATTTTTGAAAAAAAGTCCAACTCAAGGCGGATTTGAACAACTGACTTTCAGATTCACGTTTAGCCACTAAGATCTGTTTCACATACACACACACTCACACACGCGTACACTGCCGTCTGTATTCTATACTCTAAGTAACTATTTACACAACTGTAATCAAGGATTCACTTAATTTTAATGTTGAATTAGGAATCAACATCACAGTGCTCTGGACATTAATATAAAAGCTCCATCCCCATCTTCAGCAGCAAGTGCAAAATTCCAATTCTGATGGTACCAGTAACAGTCCGATTTTATATCCGCCTCGCCTTTCCTTTGAGCCTTTTCTCACCGGCCAGATCCCCTGTTAACTTCTAGCAGCGCCATTCCCCTCAGAACGTAATGATCCATGTGCGCTTCCACACTGTTCACCCCCCCCAAAGGGCTCTTATAAAGTCTAGCCTGTTACGCATCAATTCACCTCCAAGTTGTGCAGAATCAGCCAGTCTATCTGCCTGTTCATTTTCTTCTAATATACCGGCATGTCCTGAAGAAAATATCCAAAAGAAGCTAACAACTCGGAACCTTTGAAGTGACCATTGCCCCTTTTCACACAGCATCCGGGTCTCCATCTTTCTCATCAAGCTTTGTGAGTTGGTTACAATTACGACATCTGTGTACAACTGGTTCTCAAGCCAGCTGAAGACGGTAGTGACTGCCTCCACCTCCATTCACAATCTTCATATTGTGTTATACACCAGCCTTTGAGGTACTAAGCGACATCCATCTGCATTTGCTTAAAACCCCATGTTCTATACTTACCTCTGCTGCTATATCTGGATACAGCCAGGCCATGTACAACTGTAGATATTAAACAAAAAGATAAACATTCACACCTACAGAAAATTATTTTCATAAATTTGTAGACAATAAAATCATAGATCAGGATTGTTCGACCCATCAAGGCAACCATTATAACATAAGAAACATAAAAGAATCCAGTAACAGCACCAATGTTTAAAAAAATATTTCATCTGAATCTTATTTTCTTTTTCACAGGCTCAGTCTGGAGCAGACGTCAGAGATGGTGACTTTCCAATCCTTCCTGCCTTCTGATAGTTGGTTAAACTGAAACTTCTTAGATACTATACAAAAACAAAGAAAAATAGAAAAGCACAGCCACTGAAAAGAACACAATTTTGTCAGAATTTTTACATTCAAAAGCTGCGTAATTTAATGACTGAAATTGTTCAAATTGCACAAAAGAATACATTAGAATTCTGTCAACCGATTTATAGTTCTTCTGCATCGGGGTCATCAATAGGTTTTAGGCATGCATGCTTTCCCGTCAATGAATAAAAAAAGTGCCATCAGATAACTATGCTTTTTTTTTTCGAACAGTACATTACTGTTAGTTCCCCAGTTCTTCAAGCAAGTTAGTTTAGTTGAGAGAAATCATCTTTACTATGTCATTACCATCATGTAACAGGTCCTTTGCAAAACGTCGCTCTCATCACGGTCTGCCTGAGAGAGACTCTGTCTCTCGCCAGCTCTCCCGCCTGATGTACTTTCATACTCAAGGAGTCCCTTAAATTCTGTGCCCATCTTCGTGTTAGTTGGCCCCTGCCCATCCTTCCTGGTACCATGCCTTCTGCTATTATTTTTTCTAATCCGTCGTGGCGCAAGATGTGACAAAATCCTTCTCACTGTGGACTGAACTATTTAGTTCCCAAATGCTTGGATCCCCTCCTCAGTAAACTTCTCAGCTGATGACACTATTTCTGTGCTGGCTTCTTCTTCTTTGGCTTCCAGCTTGCCTGTGTGGGTTCCTGGGCCCCTCGCAGGGGAAGAACAAAGAACAGACCCACGGCTTCCCTGTGTGGGTTCCTGGGCCCCCTCGCAGGGGAAGAACAAAGAACAGACCCACGGCTTCCCTGTGTGGGTTCCTGGGCCCCCTCGCAGGGGAAGAACAAAGAACAGACCCACGGCTTCCCTGTGTGGGTTCCTGGGCCCCCTCGCAGGGGAAGAACAAAGAACAGACCCACTGCTTCCCTAACAAGCATGACATACAAGTACATCCGCCTAAGAGAAAAGCAACCAACAGTGGGCATTCAAATAAGCCAGACCTGTAAAACGGATGTGCATGAAGGTTCTGGAATATGACTTAAACCCAGAAGTGGACAATCAACCAGGACATTGTGCCAGACTTTACAGCTGGTGAACACAAAAAAAAGGGCTCCATCAAAGAGCTCATGACTAGTCTCACTCCTTTTGACTTGGTGTCTGAGCAGTCCTGAGCCATCTGCAGATTCAAAGACATCACCTGATTTTTTACAGGGCAATCAGCCTGGCTCAATTCTCATTCCTCAGTATTCCTGGCCACATGTGTATTAATTTCTTTGCTTCTTCTTCGGCTGAAAAGTCCTAGCACAAAAAAGAAACTGATTTGTGCTAGTTATGACTCCTTAGAGACTCCATCTGTTTAAAGTTTCCAAATATAATTACATCTGTCTTCCTCTGCCTCTCTTTACTAGTAATCTTTAGGCAGTAATGGCAAAATGGCCAAAATTACCCATGTCTGGACTGGGAGCCCAAAGATACTGAAGTAACTGCTTGGTGCAACACTGTGAATTTCAAGTGAAATATTTTTTCGTTTGTGCCCTCAACATGTTGTTGACTGCACTAAATAAAATGGCGAGTGGCCGATTACATTCAGAATGGCATGTATTTTTACAGGTGCAATGCCACCTTTCATGACTGACCATTTCCGCCGACAGTGAGCTTCAGTTCTGGTGTGAGACAATAGGTGCTGGCACATCTGACAGCTGCCTTATGAATTTTTTTTACTTTGTGTGTGCAATCTTGAAGATTTTGCAGTGACTGACAAGTTTTTCACTAGTTCTCAAATGTGACAGCGGAGGACATTTTGTGTGATTTCTAGTGTCACAGGAGAAGAGCAGTTAAAGGGTGACTCATCTGCAGTGATGTTGTTGGATCCACGACTAACTAACTTAACTAAAAATTTCTCATTTCGTCTCATCCATTGACATGCTCAATAAATTTCAATAATTCTTTTCTTAAAAGGTAATCACGAGATGAATGACTTCATTGCACCGGGTTTTATCTCATACGGCTCAGTCTCTCTCTTCATAACAGCTAGCTGCCTGCCAAGAGCATCCCACAGAGCACAACCTCCTCAGATCATGCAATGATTTTAAAATCTTGGAAACAATATTTAAAGTTTCCACTAATGCCTGAACTGATTGACCTCTCAATTTAGTGTAAACAAAACTATAACAATGACAAACAAATAGAACTAGACCTCTGCATTTCCTAGAATGTTCTCGATCATGGAGATGTATGCCCTCATTTCAGATCTTTCAGTGTCTGACAAACTCTGACTTAAGTTGAAACCCTGGAATCAATTACATCAGGTAAATAGTTCATTCCAAGCACACATCAGAACACAAGTCAAATAGTTCTTTCAATACAAAGCAATTATGGGTGTAATTAAACAGTTTTGGATGTAATGATTCTGAATGGAACAACATAATTCTGGATGTAATACAAATGATTCTGGATGTAACAAGATGATTCTTGAAGTAACAAGATTATTCTGGATGTAACAAGTTGATTCTGGACATTACAAGGCAATTTTGGATGTAACAAAACATACTGAACATGGTAATACAATTCTGGATGTAAGAAAACAATTCTGGATTTAAAAAGACAATTCTAGATGTTACAAGACTATTTTTGATGTAGCAAAATGATTCAAAATATAAAAAAGTTATAGCAACATATTAACATACACAACTTTACCTTTGTGCTGACAAACCCAACAACTGGGTCAAATTCTGAAACCAGGTATGGACCCACTTGTATGAATGGTACTTTCCCTGAAACAATGATAACAGCTGGTTGTTAGAAAAATGTCAGTTTCAGAGTCTATTTCATTGACTGAACAAGTTAGTGTCAGGGCCCTTTGGGAGTGAGTGGAGGCACAGATAGATCATTACGGTCTAAGGAGAATGGCGCTGCGAGGAGTTACCAGGGGATCTGGCCAACACTCAACACTCAGGGGAAGGATGAGACGGACATACAATCAGACGGTTACTGGCATACCATCGGAATTGGAACTTTTTGCTTGCTGCTGAAGATGAGGACTTGAGCACTTATGGGAGTGTCCTGAGTGCTGTGATGTCGATTCCTAATTCAACATTCACTGACTGATTTATAGGATAGTGTTATATTGTGCCATAGGTGGGTGGGGGGGGGGGGGGGGGGAACTCACAGCCCATGACGATGGCGAGTGGGGCTAGCAAGACTCTTCCGTGATAAGAAAAGTCTTCCACAATAATAGCATGAGATTTCAAGACATTTGTTGTCAACATTTGCGTTTAATGTGTTTCTTCTCAGATGCTCCTTTCTGCAATCATTTCTTCCTTGACTCTCATTCCCTTCCTGATGTGCCCCCTCTACACAACACATTCCATGGCATTTTGTTCCGTCTACCTCAGTACCTGTATCATTCATGTCCCTCTTGTACACATCTTTATAATGTAGTAGAGGTTGACCTCGACATCTTATACCCATCTTTAATTCACCATAGAGGATATCTTTATGAACTTTGACATCCTTCCTTCTCCAGGTGTGACCCAGCCACCTGAGCCTTCGTAGACTGAGCATTGAGACAACTGTTGTAATACCTGCTCTTTCCAATACAACAGTGTTTGTGATCTTGTCCTGCCATTTAATGTCAAGTATTCTCAGACACCACATATGAAAGCTATTTAGCCGTTTCTCTTGATGCGAATAAGTTTAATAAGTTTCAGTGCCATAAAGCAGAGTGCTGATAACACAAGCTTTCTGTTCTCCTACACTCTTTTTGTTATTCTGCTTTTTACTGTTGCTGCCTTACCTATCCTGATCTTAATTTCCTGGTCCAGTGATAGTTTGTAATTCATTGTGGATCCCAGATAGGTAAAACTGTCAACTGACTCCAGCTCTTCACCATCAATATAGACTGCAGGTATATCATTAACACCTTGCGCATGTGCGTTGTCTTCTTTTTGCTAATTATTAGTCCAAATTCAGAACAGTAAATGCAGATAGTACACACTGCAGCTCCTCCCCTGACTGGGTGGTGATTGCTGCATCATCTGCAAACAGCAGCTAAGTAACTTTCTAACCCTGCCTTTGGACTTCAGCCTGCGAGCATTGTAAAGGCTGCCGTCAGATCGAGAATGGATGAATATAAGACACTCCTGTTCTCAAAATGCATGTTGCAAAAGAAGTGAGAAGTATATTCCAAACAGGGTAGGAGCACTTCCATTTTTTATTACAAACCCCTCCAATGTTACTCATAAAAGTTGATTGTACCTTTCATACCTGTGTGGAATCACCCAATAATGCTCAGTAGGGTAGGTGGACATCTAATCTTCTTCAGCGTGTTGAAAAGACCTTTTCGACTAACCAAATCAAATGCCTTGGTTAAATCAATAAAAACTGTGGTTGATTTTGTTCATGACATTTTTCCTGCAACGGTCGTAATAAAAAATACCATGTCAGTGGTAGACCGTTTCCCACGAAAGCCACACTGTGACTCTGGGTAAACCTGGTCTCTTAGGATCTGGAGTCTTGACAGACATTTCAAGCAAGTACTTTTCCAACTAAAAAGCCTGATGTGTAAAACAGATGTGCACACAAAACTCAGGTTCTGGAACAAGACTAAAAAGTCTGGAGGTGGACGAACAACCAAAACTATCCACCAAAGTCTGAAGCCGCTTAAAGTGAAAGAGAAGACATCTTGAGGCATATAAAGCTGGCTTTATGTTGTCGATGGCCTGCTCTCATTTTTCCAGACGACAGTGTTAAACTGTTCTATAGGCAGGCATGGGAATCACAGCCCACGACCATGGCGAGTGTGACTGGCACGGCCTGCTCACATTATGCAAAATATCCCACAAATGGAACATGGATTTCAGAAACATTGCTGCCATTTCATGTATTTTATTTGCGTCTTCTCAGACCCTTGGCTATTAACCTGTGTGCAATCACTTCTCCTTTATCCTTATTTTGAAAGGGGGGGGGGGGGGAAATTTGGGACACACCCCCCCCAAAAAAAAACAATCATGATGTAACAAAAATATATAGCTACTTAGTTTTCTGAATTCTCACTCTGGGCTACAAAGCATGAATACCGCAGCCTTGTCAATCCTTACAATATGTACCACCCACCCTTTAAGGGCGAAAGCAGAAAAAGCAGAATTTCGAACAAGAACCCACTGGGAAATATGTTAATCAGTGTGCTATTATTTTAAAAATTATAGATTCGCTGTTTCATTTTAAGGCACTTGTGACTTTTACACTTTTTAATTTAATGTTTATGTGCACTGGATTCACAATCTGAGACTTATTGAGTTAAAACAATGCAGTTATGGAAAAGAGGTTTAAAGTAACATCCAGACAGAATAGGTTAAGAAAGATGTACCGTGTGGTGAGAACTGAATAAAGAAACCATCCGTACCTGATGGTGACATTTCCTCAGCATTTGTTCGCTGCTCAACCCGGAATCTGAGGCCACACATGTGTAGGAATGTCTCCACTGCCAGGCACTGGGCATAATCTGGAAGTGTTATCTGTTCAACTGTGGACGAAAGACGAAGAGACTGTGAATTATAATTTAATTATAATCAACTAGACTAGTAGTTTCCAATTTGCTCTGACCTCCTGAATCTTTCATTTCCGAAGGTCTACCATAGACTTCATATTTTTAGTCATACCAAAGAACTTTTAATTTATAAATATTAGAATCACAAAAAGGATTGTATAGACTATACAGTTGTTCATTGTCAAGAGGCAAAAGAAGTCTTTCTTTTGTTCAGCTAAGTCGCATACATTTGACTGTTGATTTTAGTTCACATAATGGGCTTAGAGTCTACGCTTCACTGGTTTTTTTTGCTGGCCAAAAGGTTTGCCTCAGTGCTTTATATTCAGTTCAGTTCACTTCTGGAGTACATGTTCTGCTGTCTGGGGGTCACTTTCCACATGGCTGATACACCTACATTAAATTTTGTATACATGTGGCTGCGTAATCTGTTGTGCCCTGTTCTGAGGTGCAGGATAAGGTACTGTTCTGAGGTGCAAAATAAGGTACTGTTCTGAGGTGCAGGATAAGGAACTGTTCTGAGGTGCAGGATAAGGTACTGTTCTGAGGTGCAGGATAAGGTACTGTTCTGAGGTGCAGGATAAGGTACTGTTCTGAGGTGCAGAATAAGGAACTGTTCTGAGGTGCAGAATAAGGAACTGTTCTGAGGTGCAGGATAAGGAACTGTTCTGAGGTGCAGGATAAGGTACTGTTCTGAGGTACAGGATAAGGAACTGTTCTGAGGTGCAGGATAAGGAACTGTTCTGAGGTGCAGGATAAGGTACTGTTCTGAGGTACAGGATAAGGAACTGTTCTGAGGTGCAGGATAAGGAACTGTTCTGAGGTGCAGGATAAGGTACTGTTCTGAGGTACAGGATAAGGAACTGTTCTGAGGTGCAGGATAAGGTACTGTTCTGAGGTGCAGGATAAGGTACTGTTCTGAGGTACAGGGTAAGGTACTGTTCTGAGGTACAGGATAAGGTACTGTTCTGAGGTACAGAATAAGGTACTGTTCTGAGGTGCAGGATAAGGTACTGTTCTGAGGTACAGGATAAGGTACTGTTCTGAGGTGCAGGATAAGGTACTGTTCTGAGGTGCAGGATAAGGTACTGTTCTGAGGTACAGGATAAGAAACTGTTCTGATCTGTCCATAATAAGATTTTCATCTTGCGCTGTGGCTAATGGTTTCCTGCTGGATTTGATAATCCTTTTCCTTTGGTGGTATGTAACTGGTACATCTGGCTGCCGATTTGTCAAACCTTCTTCTGCCAATGAATCAGCTCTTTAATTTCTGCAAAAGAAGTGCCTACAGGTTCCTAGCATAAGTTAATAGTCGATGTTTGGTGCAGAAGAGCCTATCATATGATGCCACAACGTCAAGCTTAAGAATGGAGGTGGAGGCGGTAACTGCAGCTTTCTGCTGGCTCGAGAACAGGACATACACACACACCGTGAGTGTAAATGTCTCAGAAAGCATGCTGACGAAGGTGAAGATAGGAATGCTTCGCTTTGGAGGAATGGGAGAGAAGCTTTGTCTGGATCCTTTCTCCTGGGAATGCCGGTGTGTTGGGAAATAAACAAGCTGACAGACTGGCCGGCTCTGCATAATTTGTCAGAATACTGATGGCATGATACGGCAGACATTGTTAATGCCCTATGGGAGCATGTGTACAGTTTGCAGGAGCAAGCAAATGGATTATCACAGTCCAGTTCCAGAGATCTCTTCATCCCTGATGCAGCAAGGCATTTCAGGAGCAGAGTAAAGAAGAGGAATAAGGTGAGAGTGATGCAGTAATGAGGGAATTTGGCTACACATGATGCTTAGCTTAGAGGAAAGGCAAGATAGGCATATTATTAGACCGCTATTAGTGCCATCGGTACTGAAACTCTTCATTGGCTGCTGAGGATCCAGATGGAACACTTATGGGAATGCTCTGAGTGCTAAGATGTTGGTTTTTGAAACTACTCAACTGAAAGAATTGCATTTTGAAAGCTAAGAGATTTTGTGTGTGTGTGAATGATATCACAGACTCCTGAAACCTGTCACAGTGAGAATCAGCAAACCTAACATTTTCTGGGTGGGTCCAATGCCCCATAAATGTCACTTTTTTGACTTTTCTACAGTGACATGCTTATGAGACGCAGTTTATGCTATTAGCTGGGCTTGCACCTGCGCAAACATTTAGAAAGTCATGATATTATTTTATTAGCTAAAAACAGCATTAGGTAATGTTTTCATGTGAACCAAATACTTTTTCAAAGCCAAACATAAGCTTCAATAACAGAGGTCATAGTGTGAAGGCATGAGTCACACAACATTTTATTTTTTAGCATTTGTATACTTCCGATTAACAACCTTAATAAATTATATTATTACCAATAAAAGGCAGCTGGAGTTAAAGTAGCAGTGGCAGCAATATAAGTTAGAGTTTAAAAAATGCTTCTGTTTGATTCTCGTCTGTGAGGTGTTAATTCTATGAACAGCAATCCCAGAGCGAAGCGATTACCAACTTAGTTTAAGAAACAGAAACATTAAAGGACAAAATGAATTACAGTAAACATTGGAAGAGAGTGGACGAATGGGTCAACTATACGAGGAAAGAACTGGATTTGAGAAAAGAAAACCATGTCAAGAGTGAACAACCATTAAATGTGTAGTCAAGTGTTTGGTGCTGAAAGAATTAAATGGTGTGAGGCGGTCTCTGTGGCAAAGTGGTAAAGCTGTTTGCACTGCACTCTGAATATCATGGGTTCATTTCGCAAACTTGTTCTGTTCATAGATGCAGTTTTGTGTGGAGTTCCCAGTGGATCGTCACTAGAGCTTTGGAGTTCATGTTTTGTGTAATGCTCTTAACAGGCAGCTAGTCGTTCTGTGCAGAGAGACAGAGACACATAGAATAAAACCTGGCGCACTGAAGTCAGGCCTCTCAGCTTTAATGTGACGTGATTTTCTGCCACGCTTGGAGTGTGATTACTTGAGGCAATGTGACTATGTGGTGTGATGTTGACATGATTACATGATGAAAATGAATTCACAATATGATTAAATAATATATCAAAATACTATACCCTGATACTGCTGGTAAAGTATAACATCATCTGGCCATGGTTCTGAGGCTATGATAAAATGAAAAAATTAAATCTGAACATGAAATAGAAATGGAAGAGCGTTTATTAAAAAAAAAAAAAAAACCTCTCATATCAGATAGAATTTCCACATGTGGGTTTAAGGGCATAATTTTCGAGGAGGGGAAAACCCAGCCAAACTGTCTGCCCTACCCACCCCCAGGGTAAGTATGTTGCAAAAAAGATAAATTAGGGAGATGTTTACTTCACATACAGATCCCCCCAATGGTGTAGTGGCTAGATACTCATCTGTGAATCAGAAGGTCATGGGTTCAGGCCCTGAGCAGCCAGGCTTTAAAAAAAATGACCTTGGCTTCAACTTTGACCCAGCCTTGAGTGGGTACCAGGTCCTGGGAAGTACAGATGACCAGCGCGATGCTGACCACATCACCCACGGAGTGCCGATTGGTCTATAAAAAATGTAGGTCTGGCCCTATATGCCTGATGGTTTAGAAAAGGACCCTTTTTTCTTCTTAATTAACATACATGCATAACAAGTTAAATCAGTGACCTACTTTTTATTTATTTGCTAGGAGGCCTCATGTGTCTTCCGCTACTATTTGTTTATCTTGACGACGAAGCGTCTTTTATTGATTGCCAGTTACTGTCTTCATCATACCACTTTTTGTGGTGAAGCCAGAGGGTCTTTGAACCTGAAGATTTACATCCGCATGGCTAGTGCTGTCACTACGACTGTGCAGGTAAGGATTTTATTTTTCCTCCGCCAGAAAAAAACCTCAGCCTTACCGAGGATTCGAACCCGGATCTCCCGCCTGATTGCTTAGCTTTCTAACCGTTTGGCCGTTCTCAGGTAGATATACTCCGACTTTAAAAGAAGCCCCCCAATTAGTTGACTCATCTGTAGTCAAAGGATCAAAATCATGGCACACAGGTGTAACCCATAAGTGCTGCATTCTACTTCTAACTCAAGTCTAACTCTAAAGAAACTCAGTACATTGCAATGGATTTCGTGCACCAGCAAAGATCCTGAGAAACATGGGTAGTTTGTAACTTCACATTTTGTTCGGGCCGCGCGTTAGGCTACTCTTTTTCAATTTCCAACTGCCAAGGTATTTTTTACGTGCGCAACAATACACACGGGCGCCTGGTCTCACTACGCAGAGACCAGGGGAAATTACTAGAAGTCCATGTGAAAAAATACCAGCCTTCACCAGAGTGGAACTGGCGACCTCCAACACTTGAGGCGAACACCATACCTCAAGACCATGCAGCGCCCTAAAAAGTCGACTCTTACTTGATGGGTTTGTCTATTTGTGTTTTCCCCATATTGGGGCCACAGAACCCACATAGGGAAAAACATTATTAGTGGCTCTCCTCCAAACTTCTACCTGATATTATGGTGGCCAAGCAAATAGAATAACAGGGCCTCAGTCATGTGTAAAAAGCTGACTTTCTGCCAAGGAACAAATCGCGGCAAAACTAGGATCGGCTCCAAATAACGAAACAAATGCTTTAACAGGATCTCAGCGATATTTTAATTGCGGACCTGTTTCTGCGACTATGCCGCACCGCCGACAGCATCCCCCGGGCTGCTAGACACAGCGCGGATTGGGGGTTTAACTAGATGGCTGGGACTCATGAGCAGCAGCTACCGCATCTCCTGTAACTTCCTCTAATTTATGTGCTCGTGAGTCCCAGGCATCTAGTTTAGATCCCCATCTACGTTAAGCGTAGCGGCATGGGGGATACTGTGGACGGTGAGTTTAACTGCGTTTTGCGCATGCCGAAAAGTCTGAGGACAACAACGATGCTACTCTGCGTCGGAGCACGTGGTCTCCCCACCATGTGGCTATTATAGTCTGTAAGGTTGTGTGTCTCGAAATTGTCAATGGTGGCTATTATCGTCTGCTACTATCACCGGCTATCCTCCAAATAACGGTCCTAAATTATCAAGCCGGAAAATATACCCTAACAGGGCTTCAGTCACCTGTCAATTGCGCACTTCCGTCATTTTAAACTGCACACTTCCGGCGACTTCCGTCACCCTGAGAGTATCAGCATGAGGGCGCGGGGGATACTCTCGGCGGCAGCGGAAGTTGCCGGAAGTTTACAATTCGGCGGTGGCGTTATAGTCCCCGGAAGTGCGCAATTGACACTTGACTGAGGCCCTGAGGGTATATTTTCCACCTCGATAATTTAGGACCGTTATTCGGAGGATAGCCCTATGGCCAGCAGAGTTGAGTTGCGTCTCTTAAAATTGTCAAGTAATCCTAGTTTTGCAGCGATTTGTTCCTTGGCAGAAAGTCCGCATTTTACACACGACTGAGGCCCTGTTAGGCTATTTGCGTGGCCGCCATAATATCGGGTACAAGTTCGGAGGAGAGCCTTATTAGTGATTGTACATAAACAATGGATTATGTCCCATACGGTCGCCGTAAACAAACAATGGATTGTGTCCCCTAGCCGGTCGCCGTCTAAAGAAGTATTGCGTATTCATTGTCCAATGTTATGATGCAATTGCTGGATAAGATAATTAGCATAAAGCAAATCTCAAAGCTCGAATATAATGAATAATGCTTGAACATATATAAAAATTATATATACAGAAAGAATCATAAACATTCGATTGAAACTCAAACTGTTTAGTTTAACTTTAACTTGCATAAAGCAAATCTTAAAGCTCGAATATAATGCTTGAACATATACAGAAAGAATCATAAACATTCGATTGAAACTGTTTAGTTTAACTTTCTAATATTTAATTAAAATAAAATAATTCTGTTACATGGAAGTCGCCGGTGCATCGGGACAGCTCTTCTTACCTGAGTCAGGGTCATTTTAATTGTACGTCCTAATAATAAATTTGACTTACGAAGACATTAAATCCAAATTTTCTACAAGTTTTGTAAAGTTGCATTTATCAGATAAGTTTGAAAAGTTCAAATCAAAGCGTGAGAGAGACATTACCTCCGATAGTTGCTTGCACGGCGTCTACAACCAGCGACATGACTTTGATTCGACATCAACAAACTCTCCTTTTCCTGAAGTTAGCACAGGTGTCCTGTTGTTTTATAAACATCAACGTGGAAGAGTGCTAGAACATTTTCTAATGATCCCTATCATCATCATACCTATCATCATCATCATCATCATCATCATCAATTTCCACTTCTGCCATTACACGTTACGGGGAGGAGCACTTTGCGATCCTTTGCTTGATGGCAGCAATGGCTACTGCCCTTCCGTGTCTATGTAAATTTCATCAATCCATGTTTTCCTAGGGCGGCCTCTTGTTTTCACTAGGACTGTGATTTTCACGATTCGGCCAAATACGAATAGCGGGACCAACTGGTGAACAAACATCGAATTGGGTCGAGCAGTGCTCACTGCAAGAAGACTGGCCAACCAACACCGAACTGGGGCGAGCAGTTGCTCACTACAAAAAGGCTGGTGAACGAACATCGAACTGGGACCAGCAGTGCTCACTACAGGAAGGTTGGTGAACGAACATCGAACTTGGGCGAGTAGTGCTCAGTATTAGAAGACATGTGAACGAACATCAAACTAGGGCGAGTAGTTCTCACTATTAGAAGACATGTGAACGAACATAAAACTTGGGCGAGTAGTGCTCACTATAAAAAGACCGGTGAACGAACATCGAACTTGGACGAGCAGTGCTCACTACAGGAAGACTGGTAAAACAGCAATGAACTAGGGCGAGCAGTGCTCAATACACAAGGACTAGTAAACGAACATCGAACTAGAGCGAGTAGTACTCACTACAAGACGACTGGTGAACGAACATCGAACTGGAGCGAGCAGTGCTTACTACAAGAAGACTGGCAAAAGGGCAATGAACTGGTGCTAGCAGTGCTCACCACAAGAAGACTTGTGAACCAACATCGAACTGGAGCGAGCAATGCTCACTAAAAGTACTGGTGAACTACATCAAACTGGAGCGAGCAGTGCTCACTAAAAGAATACTGGTGAACTACATCGAACTTAGGCGAGCAGTGCTGACTACAAAAAGGCTAGTGAACGAACATCGAACTGGGGCGAGCCGTGCTCATTACAAGAAGACTAGTGAGCGAACATCGAACTGGAGCTAGCAGGGCTCACTAAAAGAAGGCAACCTAACATAAATAAACACCAGCTTGTACATTGCATTGGGAAAAAAGCGCATAAACGATCCTTACATCTTCCCCCCTCCCCACCCTACGCCAACACCTAGCTGAGGTAAATAGTCGAAGATAAGAAGAAGAAGAAGAAGAAGAAGAAGAAGAAGAAGAAGAAGAAGAAGAAGAAGAAGAAGAAGAAGAAGAAGACGAAAAAGAGAAAGAAAAAGAAAAAGAAGTGGAAGAAGAAGAAGAAGAAGAAGAAGAAGAAGAAGAAGAAGAAGAAGAAGAAGAAGAAGAAGAAGAAGAAGAAGAAGAAGAAGAAGAAGAAGAAGAAGAAGAAGAAGAAGAAGAAGAAGAAGAAGACGACGAAGAAAATCGTTGCTACGGAAAGTATCTTGTATTATGTTGTCCTTGTAAAGATTGAACAGTCTTAAAAGTCTATGCTTAAGCACCAGCAAGGCGATACAAATTGTAATTTTGAGAACATGCATCATCCATGTGGCTACATACGGATGTGAGTCGTGGACTATCTCTCAGTCCTTAAGAGAATAGGGGCTTTTGAGCTGAAATGCTATAGAAAGATTCTCAGAATATCTTGGACAAAGAAGATGAGAAACATTGACATTTTATAAGATCTGAACATCAAGAAAGATTGGCTAATAAACAGCATCCAGTCTCGGAAGCTGAAATATTTTGTTCATATCAAGCGCCACGACGGATTGGAAAAAAAAAATTATAGCAGAAGGCATGGTACCAGGAAGGAGGGTCAAGGGCCGACCGACACGAAGATGGGCACAGGATATAAGTGACTCCTTGAGTGTGAAAGTGCATGAGGCGGGAGAATTGGCGAGAGACCGAGTTTCTTTCAGGCAGACTGTGATGAGAGCGACGTTCTGCAAAGGACCTGCTACATGATGATAATGATTGTTGTCCTAGTAGAAATTTCAGCTCAGGCTATCTTTTAGCGCATTGTCGAAGTATGGGAATAATTATTACACAACTGAATTTTAACGCATTCTTTTAATTATAAGGCTGAATCTGATTGGTTGTAATATAATTTCTTTGTGTGCTTTGAAAATTAAGCAATTGTTGCTTGATTTTCATCTGTTACGTTATACTGAGAAATGTACGAACAGTTGATCAGACTGCTCTTTCTCCCCCCCTCTCTCTCTCCCTCTCTTTCTCTCTTTATCTGTCTCCTTTCTCTCTCTCTCTTTCTCTCTCCCCTTTCTCTCTCTCTGTCTCTCTCACTTTTCTCTCTTTCTCTCTCCCTTTTCTCTCTGTATCTCCCTCTCTGTCTCTGTCTCTCTCTGTGTCTCTCTGTCTCTCTCTCTTTCTCTCTCTCTCTCTCTCTCTCTCTCTCTCTCTCTCTCTCTCTCTCTCTCTCTCTCTCTCTCACACTACTGCTGCTGTTTGTTTTGTTTTCATTCAATGCTTCCTAGCTGCGCTCATTTAGGGAAACACTTGTCTTAATGTTCTCCTATTAATTCTAACTACTCTTCTACGATCCCTATATTCACGTTACACACTCCAGTTGAGTGTTTGCTTACTCCATATCGAGCTATTACTTCCCATAAAACTTGCCTATCGACTCTGTCCAATGCTTTTTTCCTGGACTAGGAATGCCACACACACACACACACAAAAGTTCTTACGGATTTGTTGTACTTTTCAAACAACTTTTTGAGTATATGTACAGCCAACTGTAGTTTCATTAGTGGCCTCAGACTTGTTTATATTGTCTTGTGCATATTTCCAGTCAATGAGAACAGTTTGTTGTAACCATGTTGATATGGTGTAGCGGGGAGCCACTAGGGTGTAGTGGGGAGCCACTAGGTTGTAGCGGGGAGCCACTAGGGTGTAGCGGGGAGCCACTAGGGTGTAGTGGGGAACCACTAGGGTGTAGCATGGAGCCACTAGGGTGTAGCGGGGAGCCACTAGGTTGTAGCGGGGAGCCACTAGGGTGTAGCGGGGAGCCACTAGGGTGTAGCATGGAGCAACTAGGGTGTAGCATGGAGCCACTAGGGTGTAGCATGGAGCCACTAGGGTGTAGCGGGGAGCCACTAGGGTGTAGCATGGAACCACTAGGGTGTAGCATGGAGCCACTAGGGTGTAGCGGGGAGCCACTAGGGTGTAGCATGGAACCACTAGGGTGTAGCGGGGTGCCACTAGGGTGTAGCGAAGTGCCACTAGGGTGTAGCGGGGAGCCACTAGCCTGTAGCGGGGTGCCACTAGGGTGTAGCATGGAGCCACTAGGGTGTAGCGGGGAGCCACTAGGGTGTAGTGGGGAACCACTAGGGTGTAGCATGGAGCCACTAGGGTGTAGCGGGGAACCACTAGGGTGTAGCGGGGAGCCACTAGGGTGTAGCGGGAAGCCAGTAGGGTGTAGCGGGGAGCCACTAGGGTGTAGCGGGGTGCCACTAGGGTGTAGCGGCCTGCGAATCGGAAGGTCGTGGGTTCGGGTCCTGATTGAGTCAGCTTTTTTTTCTTTAAAAAATTGACCCTGGCTCCCATTTCGACCTAACCTTGAGCTTTTTAGATTGCCTTCCTAAACATCTACACACATGGTAGCTGAACAGGTATAGTCCTGGAAACTAGGGCTGTACCGAATAGTGATTTTCACTATTTGGGCGAATACGAACAGCGGGACCAACTATTCGGCCCAATACGAATACGAACAGTGTATAGTGTATAAAATATATCTGAAAAAAAAAAAAAAAAACAACACATTTATAATGTCAAATGTACGCTGAACTTTTATTTCACATAAAGTAGCACAAAATAGTCATCTTCTTCTTTAGCATTCTGAGCCCTTGAGGTTTACTGCTGCAGATGTCACTCGTCTCCATTTATCTCTCTGGCTGGCCTTATCTTCACAATCTGTGACACCAGTTGTTTGCAGGTCTGGCTGGACATTATTTCTTATTTTTTGTCTGCCTCGTGGTCTACGCCCATTCCTCTCTCAAGTGTATACAGTTTATACTTCTCTGTCATCTGACATTTGTTCAATATGCCCCAACCATTTTAGTGAGTTAGCTCTCACGATGCCAGTGATCAGTGGTGATTTAAACGGATTATGTGTTACGTTGTTGCTTCTGACTCTCAATTCCTCGCTGTTAGCATCTTTGATGGGCCCAAAGATTTGTCCTAGAACTGTTTTCTAAAACCTGTAATAAGGCCTCATCTCTTTTATTTCTGCTTCAAGTTTCAGAGCCAAATAAAACGACTGGTCTTTTCAACGTTTTATTTATTACTAGCTGTACCCGGCCACGCGTTGCTGTGGCATAGTTTGGCTAAATGGAAATGAAAGAAAATAGAAATCGCACGTGTCTAATACAATCATTGTCTGCTCAGATATAGAGATAGTCTTTGATCGCCACCTCACCCCCCTCCCACCCCACAACTAAATCCACCTACTACCCTCTCCTTCATCAAATTTAAGTCATTACCCCCTCCCCTCTTCCACCGACTACTGCTTTCTCCCTCTTCGAAGGATTTGAAAATCACTAACTGGCGATATTTTGTTGTTGCTGTAACTGACATTGACATCCCTGTCCATCTGGACTAATATAGCAGCCACTTAATCGGAACAACGAAAAGAGAACTCAACTATTAGACATGTGTGTCTACTACTACTGTGTCGCGATTAAAACACAATTCAAAACCGCAGGCAATTGTTTTCTCATAGACAGATACTCCAGATATATTAATGAAATAGAAATCGCACGTGTCTAACACGGTTAATGAAGTTAATGTCGCAGTCACTGTCTGCGCCGACGTCGAGATAGTCCTTGATTGCCCCGCCCCCCCCACCCCCACCATCGAAGGTTGTAAAAAAAAAACAGAAAATAGAAATCGTGTTTAATATGGTTATTGTGGCAAATATAGA